GGTGTAATGTACACGATTTTAATTCTTTTTAATATTTGAATAAGATGCTCTACTTGGCCTCTTTTTGGCTACGACAGTTTAATAATTTGTCATTATCAATACTAATTATCATTAATGAAATAATATTCAGTCAGGGGGCTTATTTATGGTAATAATATGTATACCGGTACTAAGCCTGAAGGTGGCGCTTTCTTACGGCAGCCATCTTGGATGGTACACATACACAACTCTGCATTGCTCCGCCATCTTGTCAGCACTCTAGTTGTTTAATAGCTCTATGGATGAAAAGCACCACAATCCTACATACTTTAATTTCTTTTTCGGCCATGAAATACTCGCACCTCATGAAACATCCGCCCGTCAACAGTAGTGACGCATTCTCCTATACATGGTACCTAGCATAGAGAAAATAGTTCTATTTTCTCTATGGGTATAGTAGCCTACGGCTCTGAAAAGGATACCATGAGACCGCCCCTTTTTAGAAATTCTTTAGACTGATCATATTGTAAACGGCGGTCGGTACTTTAGTGAGTGATTGGTAGACGGACAACAGTCGAATCCGTTGTAAAATAAAACCTGTAAACGCCACACTCACCGTTTGTCGTGACAATCGATGTTACACATAGGACTGGGCAAACACAGGAAAAGGAGCAAGATATTATTATTTGTGCTGTATATATGGGGTTGTTCTAAACCATGAAGGAGGTTAAGGATAACTCGTATAGTTACTACTACCATACAAATTATGTTCGAAACAGTCGTGCCATCGCAATTGCGTGGGCCATCTTCACCATCTGCTTCGCCATAATTCTGATCGTGGTCTTCGTTCAGCCGTACTGGATCGGCGATGGCCGCGATGCTCAAGGCGTAGGCTACGTTGGCCTGTATCATATGTGTGTAAGCTTCGGCCTAAGAGGAGAGCCAGATTGTTCGAGGAAAATATTCGATTTCAGTCAAATAGACGGAAATTCAGCACTAACAGCTGCCACAGTTTTTGTTGGGCTTGGTGTTATTTTTGTTCTGTTGTCAATTTTTGGAATGTGTTGCTTTATGTGTCGTCTACCCACAACGGCAACGGTGTTCAGAATCTGTGGCGTTTTACAGCTTTTGACAGGTAGGCCTACGTACTTTTCTATCACTCAGAGACCTGTCTGAGTCTCTGGCGTCCCACTGCTTGTACTAACTAATGACTAACTAATAGTAGGCCTAGGTCTATCCTAGTTTAGGCATAGGCCTAGCTAGCCTGGGCTTGGTGAGTGTCAATTTGAGTCAACTCAGCCCCACGTCAACTCGGTCTAGGCCTAACTGGAGACTCAGCCCAGTCAACTCAACTCAGCCCCAACTCCCCCCTAAACCAAGTCAAGAAATAGTATAAAATAATATTAATAATAAATATAAAAAAGCCTAAAAATAATGATAATAACGATATGATGACAATAATAACGACAATACTTTATGATTTATGACATATTTAATATACATATGTATATATTTAAATATAGGCCTCTTATAAATCAGGATGATGCATTTATGGAGAAAAATAATATTTCAATTCTTACACAGTAGGTATATTTAAATAACTATTATAGTATACTGTATTCTGTACTTCGTGATTCAATTCACTCAGAGACCTGTCTGAGTCTCTGGCGTCCCACTGCTTGTACTAACTAATGACTAACTAATAATAGGCCTAGGTCTATCCTAGTTTAGGCATAGGCCTAGCTAGCCTGGGCTTGGTGAGTGTCAATTTGAGTCAACTCAGCCCCACGTCAACTCGGTCTAGGCCTAACTGGAGACTCAGCCCAGTCAACTCAACTCAGCCCCAACTCCCCCCTAAACCAAGTCAACTTAGCCCTAAGTCAGGTCGGGCTCCATGTCAACTCAGCCCCAAGTCATTTCGACCCTACAGGTAAGTCAATTCGGCCCCAAGTATTCAACTCGACCCCATCTCAACTCGACCCAATTTACTGTGTATTTACGAAATACGATAGTATAATTAGTTAATACATAATCCAAGTATTAAAATGCACGCCATCGTGTTGGGATTCAATATTTCAACATTAATTATGTCAATCATCGTCAGGAATTAATTATACTGTATTTACCAAAAGAGATTTGAATGCAAGCCGAACTGTGTTACAATTAAAGTGTTTTAAATCATTGCCTTTGTTATTTCTTCTCCATTACATCTACGTAACAATAATAAAAACTGCATTAATAGAAATAGTATAAAATAATATTAATAATAAATATAAAAAAGCCTAAAAATAATGATAATAACGATATGATGACAATAATAACGACAGTACTTTATGATTTATGACATATTTAATATACATATGTATATATTTAAATATAGGCCTCTTATAAATCAGGATGATGCATTTATGGAGAAAAATAATATTTCAATTCTTACACAGTAGGTATATTTAAATAACTATTATAGTATACTGTATTTAATGTACATTTTAAATAATAATAATAATAATAATAATAATAATAATAATATATTTAAATAATAATAATAATAATAATATTTTAAATATACATTATATATACATACATTTGAATATCAGTATACAGTACTCCCATATGATATATCTAGGCCTATTACTGTATATAATAATATGATAAGGATAAACTCTAAACTCTAATGCATGTTAGTCCTAGGCCTATATAAAGACGGTTTTGATATTTTTACCTATTATCATGATTTGTAAATTGTATACAAACAGTGCTACATTTAAATTATACAATATTTAATATGTCTATAACTCATTAATTATTCATTATTATGTCTTATTGTCATCTTTTATTACCATCTATACGGTATGCCCCAGTGCAAACCCCAACCAAACCCTGTGATATTGATTTATTTATTAAGATACCAGGAGTCCTGTTCTACATGATTCAATCACTATCACAAGATTTAGATTGGGTTTGCACTGTACTTTTGGGGGAGTTTACGGGGTTATATACAAAAAATGGCATTACCCCAAAAGTAGGTTGTTTATTAATTATACGAATGTAACATTATGATTTTTTTTTATTGAGATACCAAGTGAGTCTTATACTACATGATTCAATCACTATCACAAAGTTTGGATGGGGTTTGCACTGTGTTTTTGGGGGTTTGCGAGGTTTAGCAATTTTTTTATACAAAATATGGCCTTATTTTATACCCCAAAAATAGGTTGATACGAACAAAAAATTATGATTTGTTTTTTATTAAAATATCAAGTAGAGTGCTATACTACATGATTCAATCACTACAGTAGCACAATGTTTAGATCCATGGGGTTTGCACTGTATTTCTGGAGGTTTCTGGTGTATTTTTAGGTATTTTTAACAAAAATCAATATTTTACCCCCAAAATAGGTTGTTATAAACATAAAATTATAATTTTTTTTATTGAGATACCAATTTGAGTCCTATACTGTACTTCGTGATTCAATCACAATCACAAGGTTTGGATGGGGTTTGAGGTGGTTTTTTTTGTTAGGTTTGTAGGGTTTACTGTAGCAATATCCATGCCTTTTTATATTTTTGTTACTAGGTGTATTATTATTTAATATTTTATTTTGTGGTTTTTATATTGTTATGTGGATGTGAATAACAAAGGCATGGTTCAGCTTTGCATTCAAATCTCTTGGTAATTACTAGTACAGTATTTCGTATCACAGTAAATTGGGGCCCGAGTGGATTTGTTGGTGAGTTGACATAGGGCCGAGTTGATGTGGGGCTGAGTTGAAATGGGGCTGAATTGACTTGAGGCCGAGTTGACTGGAGCCGAGTTGACCTGCTTCTGTGAGTGTGTCTCGGTCAATTTGAAAATCTTTTTAAATTTCAAACAAGACACTTTTCAGAAACATGTTGCAAATTTAATTACGGAGGAAATATGTTGATATAGAATTTAAATTTGTTGGATTGAGATTTAATTATAAATATAGGCAATACACTGAGTTTGTTCTATCAGCAAGCCGTCACGGAATGAAACTTTGGGCGATCTGACATCATCACAGCCAAGCACATGTTTGCACATGACTCCACGAAAAAAATTAACAAATTAGCTGGCAGAGTTTAGGAGGCGCGACCTGATGTCTGATGTTTACTGTACATCAACCAACCAGCAAGTGGCATCGCGACTACTAAAATATCAGACCGAAAATGCACGTAGAAAGCATTCATTTTATTGGTAATTAAATTTGCTGTTAATACTGTAACATGTATTAACTTTTCATTGGCTAGTCATACCGAACCCACGGGACTCTTGCTAGCAGGCCTATGCCTATTTCAGCGGCTAGGCCTTAGCTGGCCTACAGTACAACAAGCTTGTTCGAAAAGGGTTCAATAGGTATGTTATTTAGACTAAACCAAACTTTCCGGAAATCCGAACATCGTAACCGGCCTGAGGTGGGGGAGTTGGTTTTGGGAGAGTGCACTTTATTATTTCTCTACATGTAAATATTGGAAGTCAAATTTGATGACTTGTTGACGCCTGTTGATTGCACTGTATAGAGACTGAATGTTCATCTGCAGTATTTCTTTAACCTCCCGCCCCTCACCCCGCGTCATCCTGCAAAATAATCACTCGCCTGAAAATTATGGTGAGTGGTTTATTGCTCGCCTGCCATTTTCAAATGACAAGGCCTGCCGTCCGTAACAAAATATTTTTGAATTATATTGATAATAATTATATTAATATTTTAATAGTAATAATGATGATAATAATAATATGTAGGCTTTTATAAACATAGCGTTCTATACAACTACTGTGAGTGCGTTTCCACATTGTTACCCCTCATTGGAATGATGCCTATGGGGGAAATTCCATACAAGTAGTTTTCTGCATGAAATATACTGATTTTTAGCACATTTTTGCACTCAAGCCTCCTCAGGTATCCACATACTGTATACTGCTAGGTGGAGAGAAACAATGCAGATAATCATAAAGTGCCTTGCTCAAGGACATAAGCAAAATGCACAGAGAGGGATTAAAACCCCATCCTCAAGGGTTTTAGGTATTTTTGAACAAAAAAATTTTCTAAAAATTTGTTGATAAAATATCGAGTTACCTCTAGTATTGTACTGTAGAAGAAAATTGAAATCAAGTTTTTCATAGTCATTACTTTTCAAATGAATGTAAAAAAACCTCAATTATGAATTTTGAATTGATGTGTTTCTATGGTCTTTTAGCAGCTTTAGTCTCTCATAGACTACTGTAATAAAGATGAAAGAAATTTGTTAATTTGGCAGCACAGAATTGTGGTCTTTAATTGGAGGTGGTCTTCAATTGGAGAGGGCTTTCTTTGGAGGAAGACCTATATATGAAATTAATAAATTTACAAATTTTAACAAAACCACACACATGATTATTTAATAAAAGGAATACAAGGTAACTGTGTCTGCACTAAAATATTGCTAACAGATTCACTGTTTGAAAGAAAATATTTAGTATTTTTAAATGTACTGTACTGTACATACAGTTATTGAAATGGTCCAAAGAAGAGCAGCTAGATTGGTCACCTGTAGTACAGATACAGTATATCTCTAGTGTCTCTGACATGCTACCCCAACTAGAATGGCCTCCCCTTCAGCTGCGCAGAGAATTCCAACACCTGAAAATCTTCTGTAAGTTCCACAAAAACACAACCTGCATCAACTCCGACTACTCTCCAAAGCTCGTTCCGACATCCCAACGGTCATCCAAGGAACTCAAAATTCATAATCACCAGAACTGTATAAACACTGAGAAGGAACACAGGACTGACTACAGATTAAAACCCTTTTTTCCATGTACAGAATACTTATCTGTTACTAAGTTTGGGATCTTGACAACCCCGCCTGCTCTAGTCAAACCCTGTCCCAAGTGACATTTTATCTTATAAATAAATTTGGAAAATTAATGAATAAATCATTAAAAAGAATAATATTAAAAATAAAAAAAAAATTAAAATAATAATAATAATAATTTTCATGGAAACTAAAGTTTAAGCTAGTCTGTCCTGCATGGTAGCCCGTTATAGTTGTAAAATCGTCCATTTGATGACGGCGGCAGCTGAGCAAGAAGAAGTACAGAAACACCAAATTTCAACAAATCTATCTATTAACTTT